ATTTTTGTTTTAGCAAATAGTGGAAGTTTCTCTGGTCACTTTGCACTATAGGAAAACATTCGCACATTCTGACACATGAAAAATCTAAAATATTTATTGATTACTTATCGAGCAGCTATTCAGTGTATGGTGGATAAAGACTTTCAGATAAGGAGACAACATTAGCCACAAAAATAACTGATTATCACATGGTTGAGAAAAGTGTGGCTTTTTGTTAGCATTACTGCTGGTAGAGGCCATGAGTGCTCCACAGAGCTGCCACGTTAAGCTTGTAAACTGAAGCTTGATAAGTAAAAGTAACAAAAATTGGACTGTACTCTCCCTGCAATGATTGGAGCCCTGCTACTCCATGGTCATTCGTCACAAGTAGTGTTAGGAGTGGGATCCACGCAGAAGAGAAAGAATATGATGACGAGATGGTGAAAGAAGCAGAGTCAAGAGGAAGAACCTGATGATGGAGTAGAGATACCAGCTAACCAGGGTGCCATGGCAGCAGGTAGTCCTCAAGACACGCTGGTGGAGCCTTGCTGCTCGATGGCCTATAAAATTTACGTCTGAGAACTGGTTTCACTCCTGTGTTGATCTCACAGGATTGGTGTGTTGTTCACCGTACAGTGTTTGTAGTCCTGACTTATTAAGTACACCAGTGGGAAGACAAGCCTGGTTACAACGAGGCAGTGTAGGTCTGCCACAACAGAAGGTGTAGAGTAAAAGGATGTGTTTATTTTTTCAAAGTTTCGCTTTTTCCCTATCTGACAGGTGCGTGTGTGCACAGAGCAGAGAGTGCATGTGCGGCACAAAGCTCCTTGAATGTGTTTTGGCGTGTCTTTATTTTTTCCAGGTGCACTAGAGTTCACTTTAGTACTACTGTAATCAATCAAGCAGGCAACAGAGGGAGCCTGACGTCAGCCGCACGGCCGCTTGCGTAACTTCACTCCGCAGTGCCATAGATTTTTTCATATGGAGCAATCTGGAAAAGTAAACTTGCTCTTATCACACATTCCCTCTATCTCAGGTAGGTCCCGGTGTCCGGCTTGACTGGTCAGCTCAACCAGGTTGTATAGGCAGGTTATCTGCCACTGTGGCAGGTTGATCTTAGAGGAAAACCTAAACGGAAACTGGGTGAATTCATTTGCAACAATCCAAGCAGATTTTGATTCAAAATCACACTTGCAGTGTCATGTCACACACGCAACAGCTGCATGGCTGTTTTTAGCCACACTGTCCAAAGTTACATGTGACGCCCTCTCTAATAATAGCAGACACTTGGTGATCTTGTATAACACGTGTGAATGTGCTCAGTGTTAAATGAGAAAAAGAAATCTCCTATGGGGGAAATAATTCACTTGGACTTTGGGGGCCCTGACAGACACAATTCATCCACTGTGACAGGCACGCTGTTATCTGTGCTCACACACAACTGATCACTGTGGCAACATCAGTTTCCAGCCGCTTCTTACGACATCCTGTGACGTCCAAACGTGTCCCATTCACTTGAGACAAGCTCACTCCGCTGCACTGTTCATCTTCTACTCGCTGAGGCGTTTGACAACAACAGCGGCCGCTATCTGATGCCTCTTAGGATGGAAGTAATTAAGGATAAAAAAATCACAAATATCTTGAATAGAGTTTCATTTAAATTCTAATAATGTGCACTCATGGCTGCCAGATTTCCTAGTAATGTTTGATTGTGGTTTAAAGTGGGAAATACAGCTGTCTTATGTGTCATTTGTTTAAGGTGTGTTTAAATACAGGCTATCTCACCACGCCTACAAGACTCACAGTCTCAGTTGCCGTAGTTCCACCAGGATGTCAAACTTGTGTGTAAATGGAGGCTACAATAACAAAGACATGAATTAACAAAAGGTGAGGTAGGAAATAAAAGCTGCTGTACAGATACAGGCGGTTTGTGTAAGATGTCCTTTTGTTCCACTGCATTAAAGTCTTTTCTTCTCATCCAGAAAAGGCTCCCCCCGCTGACACAGGGCTGTGAGGGAACCTGAGAATGTCAGGTGAACTGACATTTATCTGCCTTCATTGTTCACTCGTCGCCAAGTGTTTCACATTCAGGGGGGATGCTGGCTCCGCTCCCAGGATGCACAGCTGCCACACGGTGGGCTATTTATAGATGCATGACGCAGTTTTCTCACCTCAGTACCCGGCAAACACCCTCAGCTGGGGACGCTTCTGCCCAGATGTCGACATCACGATGTCTTAAATGAATGAGCCCGACTCCCGCTTTGACCTCTGGGAGCTTTTGTGAGGCAGGGTTATGCATCTACTTCCGGCTGTGCATCTGCTGGCAACACCCGAGTAGTGGTCGAACCCAAACACAGGTACACATACGTCTTGGGAAGACGTTTTAATGTGCGTGCCTGCCTGCGCGTGTTCCCAGCCATCCTGTTTTTACTGCTTCATTACTAAAAACACATTCAGGTCGATCCTGAAATGAACTTTACTCTCTTGTAAACATTTTACAGGTGCACAAACAACCCGAGTTGACAGACAATGTGACGTGTGGGATTTTATAAATGATGATATATCTTAAAAAGAGGAAATTGCAAAACTTATTGCCTGTATTGTTCACTGACAAATTATATACCCAGAAAATCTGAGGGCCTTCACTGAGAGAGTAACGTCTGCTATTGTGCGTAATGTCTACATTTGCGTGAGGACTCTCATTAAGGGCTATTTAGTGCATTTAAACACATAATAGGCTGCATGCAAAACAGGATATACAGTTAAAGGCAACAATAATGTGGCAGTTGTCCACACCAGTAAAAAGCGGAAGAGTTTGTGGATGGTCTTGACTAGCGCAGAGAGTATTAGGCATGAAAGACTGCAAATGTTCTGCTGAGATCAGTGGAATGACTCTGTATCTGCACCAAATCACACAAAAACCCAATCAGCTCAGCATGGAAGGAGACTATAGTAGAAAGCAATGGAACTAAAAAGTCTAATCTAAAAAGATCATTATCTGAGTCTTTTCATAAACACCAGCACAGCCATGAGCAAATTAAATCGGTGAATGAATAAATGACTCTCATATCAAGTTTCCACTTTAAACTTTCTCTAACAGCGATAACAGCAATAAATAAATGAGTGCTGAGCAAGCAAGAACTTTGAGTGTTCACAGCCTGCTATTAGAGTTCAAATACTAACAAGCAGCCTCTGGATTTAAACAAAAAAAATAGATTGACATGTTTTATCAACAAATTCTTGGATGGAAAAAAGTATTTTTGTTGGCTATAACAGAGGCCTGGGTGAGGAAGACTCACAACTATTTGAGAAGACTGTAATATGTCAGAAACAAAATCTATAAAATGGGTTACAGTCTTTTGTCTTGTCTTCCTCGCCTCAATAACAAGCCGGTTGCACACATAGTTGGCCTTCCCTGAGCCTGGCTCTGCTGGAGGTTCCTTCCTTTTAAAAGGGAGTTTTTCCTTGCCACTGTCACCAAGTGCGTGCTCATATGGGGGTTGGCTGATTGGTGAGGTTTTCTCTGTATTACTGTAGGGCCTCGAGCTTATAGTATAATGCCTGGAGTTGTTAGGATTTGACCCTATATAAATAAACTTGAATTGAATTGAACTCTTAGGAATTAGGAGGGTAAGCAGCAACCAGGTGGTGCAGATTAAATGAACTCTGTTAACGGATCATCAGCAAGTGTGTTCACAGTTTTCTGGTCTGGAACATTCATGTTTGCATTAACACAGTCTTCCCAGTTGTGGACGACTCAGAATAGGTCAGAGAAACCTCAAAAAATCCATAAGCTCATCTCAGACTCTACGGGCCTCAGCTAGCAAGTTAAATGTCAAAGTTCATGACAGCACAATGACAAAAAAACTAAAAAAATTATGGTTGTTTGGAAGGGTTGCCAGGGTGTTGGCAGGGGTGGTGGAGGGGCGATAATTTGGGCTTGTTTTGTGTCCACAGGATCTGGGCACCTTGCAGTCACTAAGTTGACCAGCTCCTCTATAAACCAAAGTACTCTGGAGTCAAATGTGAGGCTGATGCTGTGTCACACAGCATGACAATGATCTGACAATGAGCTTAACCACAGCATTATGACCCGTTCAGATTTCAGGTCTTCACCTGAATTAAATGATGTGGCAGACCTTAAGAGAAAGCAAATGTCTGCTAACCTCAATGAACTGAAGCAATGTTGTGAAGAACAGTTTGCAAAGATGATGCAAGAAACTGATAAAGTCACACAGGAAATGACTATTTTTAAGTTGTTGCTGATAAATGCGCCTCTACAAGCTGCTGAATAATGGATGTAGTTTGTCACGTATTTCCCAAATTGGGAATATGCAACATAAAAAAGTAATTTTGCGCTCCTTCTATTGTTTGTAAATTACTACTTTTTTTGTTTAGACAAAGCACAAAAACAGAGCTCGAGTAAGAGCTACTAGAAGATATACAACTGCTGACAGCTAGACTCGAGGTTGTTTTAAAGAGCCACAAGCCAAGAAGGAATGGGTATGAGAGTGCTTTCATCACTGCAAAGATACAAAGCTGAGTCCGCAGAGCTTCCAGGAAAATCTCAGACTTCGTTCGGTTTTTTTTATGATTGCTCTTAAGGCTTGCATGATCATTAATTGCATGATCAATTGGACAATATAGACGCAAGCATACAGGAAAAACATCCTGTATGCTCTGCAAATATTTCCCCATGAAGAAATATGAAAAGGTTGCAAGGTGAAATGCGTGTGCCGTGTTTGCACAACTGTAATCTAATCTATGACATATCACTAATAGCTGTTATTTCTAGCAGCACCGGAGCTGAAGCGATGCAGATCCCAGGAGTGTTGGTTTGAAGGAAAACCCTGATGGTATGCGGGGTTGCACCGCAGATGGAGCAGAACTCACCGAGCTGTCAAGTACGTCACATGAAGGGTGTTCCCTGCGGGCAGGGCAGGGCATCCATAATCAATGACCAAACACAGCAGCCAATCACAGGGCTCATGCTAATGAGGAGCCTTTAAACCCTCTGGACCTTCGCAGACTGACCGGATTTCAGCAGCACGCACAGAGAAAGGAGGAAACTGCGGCTCCCACTGAAACATCCACATCTGAGAAGAAACTTTTTTTCCCTTCTTGCTTCCTCTCCGGTCTTTTGCCTCCAGTAATAATATCCGGATCTGCTCACACAGGAATTATCGCACTTTGAAGACACCGAGCTGAGCTGGGAGGAAGCGCTGATTCACACTCTGCTGATTTCTTTCTCGGGGTGGGGGGGACTTAAAAGTTCACAACGCCATGTCTGGTGAGTCGGATCACAGTCGGCGGTTCTGCGTGCTGTCTTGGGATCAGGTGCAGCGCTTGGACTCGATCCTGGGCGAGGCTATCCCCATCCACGGCCGAGGAAACTTCCCCACGCTCTCCGTACAGCCCCGCCAGATTGTCCAGGTACCAAGAGAGAATTAAGAAAAAATAAAATGATAAAATGTTTCACTTTTAGATAGACAGCTCAATTTGAGCCAAATTCATGATATTTAAATTATTAATATCAATCAGGACCTCTCAGTCAAGCAACGTCTTTTTTTTTTTTTAAATTAAAAAAATCGTATTTTCTTCTTTCTAGTTTCATGTGAAATACTAATGGCACAATAAACTACCACAAAACAAACAGTGCTGTACTCTGTTGAACACTGGAAACCCCTCACCGTCCTCTGGTGGCCTACTGATCCATTCAGGATGTAACCCTCTCGGTTCCTTGGCTCCCTCCTTGCTTAATTGTATTTCCATAACATAATTTTGTTTGCTTTGTTTCCTCATTCTGGGGCTAACTTTGCGTTGCCATTTGGAGCAGTGCTGTTTATTCCTTAGCAGATTACTGTGTCAAACGTTCTAAAAGTTTCCTGCATGTCTGCTTACTTCATCCTTTTGCTTTGTAGCATTTATTGTTGATTTACTGGCACATAAAAAGTCAAAATGCAGCGTTGGTTTCCGTCATATTCAAACAGCAGACAGAGGGAAACCTGTTATATGCTGGCTTTAGCGTGGCCCTGAACGGCTTCCACATTTCCAGCCTCTAATGCATTGTGGCTGGATCACGTTTCACTTCCCCTGTGGTGTATCTGAGTTTGTTGGCAATGCATTAAAGTGCTGAGAAAATCCCATGCTAGAGTTTCAAAATGTGCATACAGCTGTTAAAGAATCTCCCCC